ACGACCGCTGCATCAGGGAACTACAGCCCCTGTTCATGGGTCGCCCGCTCAACCAGGTGAGCTATAGGGGGGGCCCCAATACACTCAGTTTTAAATGTAAATAATACAGTGTTTGACGTCAAAGTACTTTTGGTCTTGATAGTACTACTTTGGTAAACACAGTCTAGATCACTTTGCTAATCTTGATTTCACTTAAAATGCAATGCAAATAAGAATACATAAGACTCTTCAAGTGTTATCGTGTGAGAACATTTTTCAGAAACCGCTCAACGATTCTTAATGTAATTCTTGAGGGAATAGTTTCCCTACTCCTTATTTGGGATTCCAAAGAGGCATTGCTCACTCGGTTGTCTGGTCTCAAATGTCCAGTTTGGGGTAAAAAAGGGAAAAACTGCCATACTGTGAGGCGCTTTGTGGCCTTGAGAACAGCTTTACCCTCTTCAAACCAGTCACAGCCGGAGCACCAAACACAAGATTAATGTTTTGCACATGGATGATTGGCAGCTATTTATTTGAAAACCAGCTCCAATGTGGTCTTTGGGTGCATGGCTTTGAGGTTCTGGGATATTTTGGAAATTCGTCTGTGTTTAATTAGACACTTAATATAAACACTGTTGATGACACTGAAGTGCCTACAAAGAATTTCATAATCAATCCCACAGGAGTGAGACTTCACTGGGCAGTACCACAAACCGATATAAGGTCCAGACACAAAATTAAATGGGTCTCTACCCAAAATCTGATTTGTATCATTATTATCATTGCAGTGAATCAAACTGTTGGACTTAATGGATAAAAATGTGCTCAATAAACTCATTTTTTCCTTTTTTTCCCACCTCCTGGTACTGCTGATGGTGCACTTACTTCAATGTGGCAGCAGGAGGTGCTATGAGATCGTTTATATCCAATGTGTGATTTTAAAAAAAAAAGACTTACCAGTTGTTGAGGCCCTGGTGGGCATCAGAGTTTGGGAGCAAATTCCGGGGGAGGTTTGGTCTGTACCTGGTAACTTAACTCCCAACCTAACCTTAATCCTAACTCTATCTGCTTAACTCTGCCTATTAATGACCTTTGGAATCTAATATTTACTGTGAAATATAATCCAATCCAGTACAACTGTTTTGCCATAAAGTCTACTTTTTAAAGCCTCTACATTCTTTTTGTTTTTTGTATCTTAGCTGCTCCTTGGACTGAACTCTTCTGGACAGAGATCCTTCAGCCCCTGGTACTACTCAACTTCTTATGCTCCTTCCTCCTGGTGTTACTGTCAGCTGGGACTGCCACCACTTTCACAACTGCCCTTTTCTGCTCCTTTTCAATCACCACTATGTCAGGTTGGCTAGTCAGCAGCTGTTTGTCAGTCTGGAACTGGAAGTCACACATAATCTTAGCGCTCCACTGGTTTCAGTGATCTAACTCACACTCAGCACAAGTGTTCCTGTACAGAACTCCAGTCATTTCTTCATGTCTCTCAGTGTGGAATGGCACAGTGTTGGTCGCTGGCTGGGAGGTCTGAATCCTGGTCAGGTTATGCCTTCTGTAAGGGTCCCACAGGTTTAGACTCCTAATGCTACACAAGCATACCTCAGAACATGAGTGACTGAAATATAACTACTGTCATGGATTAACAACGTCCACATCAGATGTTGGTAGATTTAAGACATACTGCTGAGAGCTATCAATACACATTGATGAGGTCACAAAATACTGAAATGGTGCAACACTACAATAATAGCATGTCCGAGAAGCCAGGAAACATGCCATGTGGATTAATTCTGTATTCAAAGTCACCAAAATTGTCAGAAATCTGTGTCATTCAAATGTTCCAGCACTTCTCTTAAACAAAAAAGTTTCTTTTTTCATTCAGCAATATGCTCATTTGTGTGTCTTTTCATACATTTTACTACACAGTGTAGTAATTTGGGGTTTAAATTAGGGAATCTATAATCTGTTTATCAGTATCTCAGCTAAAAAAAAAAAGTGCACCTGCAGAACAGAAAACATTAAAATTTAAGTCCCCCTATTTAGCTTTTTTTTTTTTAAATTATTGTACGCTTTAATAACACAGAGTGATGCAGTTACATATGAATATTTTTGGTTTGACAGGTTACAGCTTAACCATTGAGGGCATATTTCATAATAATTACAGATTAATATGACATCATTTTACACAATATTATGTTGTTTTATGATATTGTCACCCATTACCTGTTCATATACCAGTCTACATTTTGGTTACCAAAAGGATGAATTACAGTTGTTGTCAAACACAATAATAAAAAAAAATCTGACAACAACTGCATTATAGTGCCTTATAAACATTAGTTATATGTTTGTATATGTCTTATGGCTGCTAAATCGCAATGCCTAAATGGAAATGTTAATTTAAAGGCCCAACAGTAACTGTGGCTATTGATAGCATTGTGCAGCTCTGTGTACTGACCACTAGGGGGCAGGCAAGTGTTGTACAATAAGAGACCAATACTGTAGCCTTCAGCTTTACCTCAACAGGCCTGTCTGTGTAGAAGTTGTCTAGTAAAACCCCAATTAAACATTAATTTATGGCAAACAGCCATCCTAGTAATATTCCTAAATGAAATACTTTGAAGAACGTCTGGACGTGGCGGCATTCTTGTCATTGTCGGAATATCATCACATAGCTGGTTTCACTGAAAAGGGACTTGTGACAGACAGAGGGAGAGATGAGCTGCAGATATGTGCGCATTAAATAAGATTTTCACACCTACAGAGTCCGTGTGATGGATGCAGCTGATGGGCGCTGTGGTCATCAGGTCCCCGCTCCGTCAGAACCAAACGATCCACAAACCCACAGGTGCCAGTGTCTGTTTCCTCTCCTCCTCCTCTGTCCTGCAGACACATGCAAATCACAGATCAAAGAGCAAAATCAAAACACACAAGTGAGGAAATTAACTCCTTGAATAGAATATTATGGAATAAACAAGGATTTTCCTCTCTTTTCTCTTCAAATGAAAATGCAGAAAATTGTTTTTCTGTCCTGTTCCCTCTGTTTTCGTTTTTTTGTTTTTTTTTTTCTCCAATCTGGCCAATTCCCAAGATAGACATAAATTGTACTTGGCATGTGCCTGTTTATTGCACTCGGCCTACATCAATTTTATTAGTTCATTTTTCCCCCCAGAAGGAGCTTAATACCAACGAAATGTATTTTTAAAGATTAATAATAAAGTTATCGCTCATCTGTTTACCAAAAACGGTTAAAATGGTTAACCTTACAGCTTTCCAAGAACTTGATGATTACGTTTTTTAGCAGTTTTGTCGAAGAGATTCATGAAATATTTCGATTTTGAAAATATAAATACAAGTTTAACGTTTGTATATAGCATATATGACCAAGAGAATTAGCTACATTTGGTTACATGTCGTTGAACCTTTAAATTCTAACAGACTATTTGTACTACACGACCATTTGATAGCCTCCGTATCCCATTAACACAACACCAGAGATACCAGCCTTCTTAGTCAAACAGAGGGGTTTGGTTAAATAAAACCACTTTCTACAGCATGCAAGGCTGCTTCATGTTTATAAAACATTTGCATTTTACACGCTTGGCTTCTAAATAGCTACAATTATATCAATAAAAACACAGATTTCCCCATTCTGAAATCATGTTTTAGACGCAACAATATTATGCAGTTATACAATAATTATGGGGAGAAAATGTGGTGACAAATTTCTCAGTACATATTATCCATGCAAAATAACTGAATAACAATCTTTTTTTTTTTTTTTTAAATACACAAACATAGCTATGTGTTTTAATAAACCTAGTTATTTTTGATATATTATCTAATTTACTGAGCGGTATAACGGTTAACCGCTTTGTAACAATTATCTGCTAACAGACAAATAAGCAAAAGAGATTTTCCGTTAAACATTAATAGTTGCTGGTATTGGTGTCTTGTTCTCTGCACGCACATTTTCTCAGCTTGATATAAAACTAATGTATAACAAATATATTGTTAATTTAGTTGCATTATTGGTCACCAGAAAACGATGGATTATTCACGTCATTTCCTTCATCATCCACATCTTTGTAATGTATCTAAATTGTTCTGTTATTCGGATGGAAACCACGATATTGTTTGCAGGTTCTGCAATCAACACAACCACTTTTGACTTCCTCGAACCACTGAGGATGTTGATGGCTCTGTTAACACCCGCTCAGTGTGAATGACATTTGGAGGTCTTCATCTTAAAAATCCCACCTCAGTCTGAGCAGCCGCTCGCACCCAGGGAACCTTTTCTCACCCAGCTCGGCCAAATGATCTTCATTTAACCTTTAATTAGTTTCCACAAACCGCCCACCGGCGCAGTCGGGAAGCAGGAGGAGGCAACAAACTCTTTCATGTCTGTCTGTTTATTCAGAGGCTCAGCTGCAGCTGATGATAGTTTCTCACAGACTGCGGACTAATGAGTGTTAGCGCATTTTGCATTCCTAATCTGTAATGCGTCGGCTCTAATTGAGCGCTTAATTATCCCAAAACATTTTATTAAGCTTGTAATTCTAAAATGCTCCATTTAAAAAAAAAAAAAAAAAAGAACAAACAAACAAAAAAACAGTGTTCAGTATAACAGGTATGGACAGAATGTGCTTAAGAAAAGGCTTTTTGGTAGATTTCCACTTTTACGCACAGCTTTGAAATGAAGGAGATGGAGAGGAGGGGACAGTAATTTGGTCAGAACCCTTACGCCTGGCAACCACACAATAAATCCACTTTCTCTGCTTCAAAATAGATAAATTAGAGTTATTTTATGACCCTAAATATGAAAAATTAATCTACAATAATAAATGTCTCTCGATTTGGGTCATTAAGTAAGATTTTCAGCATTTTGGGCACACCCTTGAAAGCATTTTAATAACTCTGAACAGAGAAGACAGAGAGGGAGAAGGGGGGTGGAGGAGGAAGGGGGTGGGGGTAGTAACTTTTATCACCATGCAGCTTTTCCACGGGTTCATTTCGTCGTCCCATTGGATGATGGAGCACACATTCGGATTCGGGGTGGAGCAGCCCGAGCAGCCAAAAGGGAGGAAAAAATGTGAAGGGTGAAAAAAAAAAGTTCCTTGCTGTGTAGACTCATGCTCCTCCAGCCTTCTTAGTTTCCCAAATGTTCAGTGCAGCAGTGCGCGCGCTCTCCGGTTCACCGTGGCGAACTGTGGCTTAAAAGGGACTTCCACGCGACACAGAGAGAAGAGAGAACTGTGAGAGAATCGGAGCACAAGCTGAAGTTGTGACAGTTCGTGGGGGGAAGCAGTTTGGGAGGTTTTACTCATTGCGCAGGATGCAGGCGCGCTACTCCGTGTCCAGTCCCAACTCTTTGGGAGTCGTACCCTACATCAGCAGCGACCAGAGCTACTACCGGGCCGGCGGTGGATACACCGGAATGCCGGCGCCTATGAGCATGTACTCACATGCGGCCCACGACCAGTACCCGGCCAGCATGGCCCGGGCGTACGGACCGTACACCCCTCAGCACCAGCCGAAGGACATGGTCAAACCTCCTTACAGCTACATCGCTCTCATCACCATGGCGATCCAGAATTCACCGGAGAAAAAGATCACCCTGAACGGGATTTATCAGTTCATCATGGAGAGGTTCCCCTTCTACCGGGACAATAAGCAGGGCTGGCAGAACAGCATACGACACAATCTGTCCCTCAACGAGTGCTTTGTCAAAGTGCCCCGGGACGATAAGAAGCCCGGTAAGGGCAGCTACTGGACCTTGGACCCGGACTCCTACAACATGTTTGAGAACGGCAGCTTCCTGCGGCGCAGAAGGAGGTTCAAAAAGAAAGACGTGCAGAGGGAGAAAGAAGACCGGGACAGGCAAGGCAAGGACCCCTCTGCGCGTAACGCCGGCCGGGAGCAGGACCCCCCGGGCCAGGGCTCTCAACCGGTGCGGATTCAGGACATTAAGACTGAGAACGGGACCTCCACGCCGCCTCAGGCCGCGTCCCCGACCCTGGGCGCCGTGCCCAAGATTGAGAGCCCCGACAGCAGCAGCAGCATGTCAACAGGCAGTCCGCACAGCGTCCCCTCCACCAGGTCACTCAGCATGGAAGGACCCGAGCACCACCACCACGGCCAGGCCGCGGCGCAGGGCTTCAGCGTGGATAACATCATGACCTCCTTGCGGGGGTCTCCGCAGGCCGAGCTTTCCCCACCTCTCATCGCGTCCTCTCGGACCCCGTCACTGTCGCTCAACTACTCCCCTAACCAGACCTCCGCCTACAGCTCCACGACCTGCAACCAGAACGTCATCTCCACGAGCTCCAACGCCACTTATCATTGCAACATGCAAGCCATGAGCCTGTACGCGGGGGACAGATCCTCCGGTGGCCACCTGGTGCCATCCACCACGGTGGAGGAGGCTCTGCCCGACTATTGCATCACCACGACCACCGCGTCCCCGCTCGGGCACGGAAACCTGAGCCAGGCGGGCCAGGACAGCCACCACTCGCACCAGGGCCGGCTCGCGTCCTGGTACGGGGACCTGAGCCACTTGAGCCCGGGTTACCCGGCGCAGCAGCAGAACTTCCACTCAGTGCGGGAGATGTTTGAGTCCCAGCGGATCGGGTTGAACGGCTCCCCGGTCAACGGGAATAATAGCTGTCAGATGGCGTTCCCGTCCGGCCAGTCCATCTACCGCACCTCAGGAGCTTTTGTTTATGACTGCAGCAAGTTCTGAAAGCCAAAATTCTCTTTTAAATTAATAACTCTAATATATATTTTCTATATTTTTTTGTACCTTTGGTCTTTCATTCACACTCCGAATGGACATGAGAGATTCAGAGACTTTTTTTTTCTTTGTCGAGAGCTGTGTAACACCAAAACACGTAAGTTTTCTTCCCTCTCACTTTGAGAATTGTTTATACAGATGGCTCAAATACCAGCTTTTATGACTAGACTGTAAATTATAGCCTAATATAGTAATTTATTTTTTAGGAAAAGGGAGTGCTTGGAAATTGAGGACCAAACACGTTTTCCAATTTTCTTATTGCTGCCTTTAATTGTCCCAGTTCTTGTATAGAAATAGAGGGGGGACTCTGTAGCCTGTACTGACTTATTTTATTCATTTTGTGTTGTTTGTTAAAAAAAAATATTTTGAAGGCATTACATTTTGTTTTGTTTAATAAAGTGCCGTCTATTTGATTTTAATTTGAGTGATTTATTAGCAGCGTTAAAGGAAAGAGGCTTATTGAGACCGAGGGGCCGGTTTTGAAAAATAAGCATAGAGGTCAAAATATTACTCAAATTAGGATCATTTGAAATTTTTTCAAAAAGTGCTAGTTCCACGTTAAATATCTTTTTTTTTTTTTAAACTGTGGCCACTGAACAGTTTTTTTTTTTCTTTTAAGAAAAAACGTAGTGAGTGTGCAGTTTCAGTGGCGCGATAGAAAACTTGCGCGTCTTTTAGTTAAAACGCATTATTTCGACTTTTTTCAACTTGGAAAAGACTGAAGCTCATATAATAAAATAATTAATACCCCAAAGAGCTTATTTGGTTCAAGAAGCAGGGTTTTATGAGTCCTCAGGCTGCGGCCCTGCAGAGGCCAAATGTGACCGTAGAGCCGAGGTTACCTTCAGAATCCAACCCAAAGAGGTGAAACAGACACATTCTCTGTTTTTCATTCCCGCCTCAGTCTCACCTGCACGCTGTATATTTTCAGTCTTGCTGTGTAAATGCCGGCAGTAAATAAATACACGTGTGGCAGCAGTTCAGCAATGCGGTTTGAACTCACTGAAGGCCTTGTCAGCAAAACAAATCAGTCATTACAAAGTGAGCGGGCTTCTGTTCGGGAGGTTTTGGATGCAGAAAAGCTCCAGCTGCATTTATTTTGGGTGTCTTCAGAGAACGATTTGCTGCAGGATCAGACCCAGAGGTCCTGCTGACGCATGATGAGGACACGGTGATGGATATGATCTGTGATAGAAACACTCCAGTCTGCTTTGCGTTCTGCGTCCTGCAGACTGCAGAGCTACAGCAGTTACCGGCTGACTGAAATATTGCTGCTGTCAGATGTTTATTTATTTCACTGCTTCCTGTAATGTGACGAGGGCCGACCCCCCTGAAAAATGTCCAGATTCTTATGAAGATCAAAACTGCTGAGTGGAATATTTTTCTTTTATTTTTTATTTGCGCAGGTGCAGGCGGATACTCATATTGACGCGTGTGTCCGGTTTGAGCTAGATGTCATCATTAGGATCACAATTCATTAAAAAAAAGATAAATAAATAAATTTAAAAAAGAAGTACAAAAAAATACCCAAACATTAAAAATACAATTTGAATTATTTTATAGCGTGAACTTCTTATGGTTTGGCCCGCCTAATAACACTGGCAACATGTGGTAAAAATAAAATAAAGTACATTC